GAGGGATACTGAGGGCGGAGAGCTGAGATGAGAATGGAGCATGGGTGCTGGGAGTGGAAGAGAGGGTATATTAGTTAGGGGGGGAATCGGGGGTAGGTGGGGGTTTTGGGGTAGAAGAGGGGAAGAGGGAGATGGGGGAAGGTGTTAGGGGGTCACAAGGTGAGGGGGTTAAATGTGGGTTGGAGGTGCATAGGAGGGGTGAGGGTTGGGTGGGGTTTGGGGGTGAGTGGAAGAGGGGTGCAGTGGAAGCTGGGATGGAGTAGATGGAATTGAAGTCAATGGGGTAGAAGGGGCAGGGGAGTAGGAAGGGGTATTTGGGGAGGGGGGATGGGTAGGTGGGTTTGGGGAGGGCATGGCTTGACCCACTGGGGTCGCTGACAAGTGTGATGTAGCAGGGGCAGGGGAATCGTTGGGGAGGTGCAAATGTGGAAGGGACAGGGGGGTTTTGGGAGGCTGAGGCAGGGGGGAGGTATAGGAGGGCTGAGTTGGGGAGGATGCGACCTGGGAGGTGACCTGGGAGGTGGCCTGGGAGGTGGCCTGGGAGGTGACCTGGGATGTGACCTGGGAGGCGAGACTACCTGAAAGGCTAGTTCGGTGTCGTTGTTGCCATCTATTTTTGTGGGCTATTTGCTCATCTTTCGTCATAAACCTCTCTATAAACACATTGTAATGGGTTTCACTTCCTCTGAGTAAATGCTTGGTCCTCATTATGTACTCCACTGCCTCCTCATTGGAGAATTGCACCAGAACAGGTCTATTCTTGGTACAATTGTAAGGTCCAACCCGTCGATTTATATCCACCTCGTGTTCTGCCATTCCTGCTCCAATACACCTCAATATCTCGTGCAATTCGTATTTTTCTGTTTCTATTCTCTCTTGTCTTGTTGGTGCCCTAGATTCGAATAATCCATGTATTATAATAGACCGTCTCCTCGGTAATTCATTGTCATGCTGGTAGCCTGTCCCCTGGGGATTCCCCATCCCAACCGTAGTCACTAACCCATCCCCCACTAATCCTCTATCCTTAGCCATGCTGCTAATCCTTCCTAATTCGTTTGTGATACGAGCACATTCCCTCTCCCAGTCCTCTCTTCCCTTCCTAATCTCTTCCTGAACATAGAGCATAAGTTCTTGTTTCTGCCTCTCTACCGCATCCTGTATTTGCTGAAATACCTCACTTTTAATCCCCTGGATTAGATCCTCCAACCAATCACTCCTTCTCTCTACAATTTTCCCTATTAATTTGTCTATAAATCTGTCCTCCTCCTCATCCCTGCTGGTGATTGACCTTGAACCCCTTCTAGTCATTGCAGTAACAATCTAGCCAAAAAGGCGCTCCTCAATACCTTGCACAATCTGCTAACACAATAGGTGAGTGAATCTCCAATCGTCGTCCCACGTGGTGGTATAAGGGTTGCTGCCGGGAGGTGAGGTCACGCGGTCAGAGGTCGGTGAGGCCTGCTTCCACACTGCACACTGCCACTGCACACTATTTTGAATTACGCTAATTAAACTGTTTTTCTTCACTACCTTATGGCTCTGGTCAAAACCCAAGGTTTTTTCATTCACTTGTACACTCTTTTTCACTTCGAGTTTGCCTGATTACCCCTCCCACTCCACTAGTGAACCAGGAGCTCCCAACCCCACGTCCACCCAACACGATGGTCACAAGACAAGTGTGTGGTTACCTGTTATTGTCTGCATTCACCATACCAGCTCAGTGGTTCTCTATGGTGAACACGAATGTAAATACTTATATATAATGTGTGTATTAGTGTAATAACAGCAAAAGGATTATGCTGGAAGGAGCCATTTAGGTGACGGAGGTAACGTCGTGTGCATGATTTGTCTGGCTGTGTAGAGGGTGGCCACTATGCTTTGGGCACTCTACAAGCTTAGGTGTAGAGTTACGGTGCATACAACATGTATATACTTATATATAATGTGTATATAGTGTAATAACACTGCAAACAGTATTGTTGGGGGAAAAAGTTTAGTGCGTGTGACCTTGAATGAGTGAGGGAGCCGCCAGCTGACTGTGTGTGTAGCGACGACTCTTAGTGCCTGAACTAACTATATCAGCTTAGTTGTACAGTTGTGGTGAACAAAACATATACATACTTATATATAACGTCTATATGTAGTGTAATAGCACTGCAAAGAGTAATGTTGGGGGAGAAATTTTAGTGAGTGTGAACTTGAATGAGTGCGAGAGGCACTCTTAGCATCACATTTATCAAGTAGAACCAGTCCAAGATATGTTGACACAATTTTATAATTTTTACTACAATAAATAATGGACACTTAATAACTTCTGAATTTAAATGTCATTAGACTTGCTCAACAACAAAGTATACTGACCATTACTTATATCATTAATCAACTCCTGCTCAAAATGGCTACACAAAATATTCTTTACATTACTGCACTTTGTGCGATGCATCTTCAAATCCAACACAATTTTACTCGACAATATTGTTCTCGTGCAGATCAACTAGATGGTCTCGGTTCCTTAGAGCAGAATAACAATGTGCATGGCAACTGCTCCTTCCAGCTTTAATGGTTTACTGTATTACCCGAGTTTACCCAATTTACCTAACCACTGGTCGATACCTGGTTGATGGGGTTCTGGGAGTTCTTCTACTCCCCAAGCCCGGCCCGAGGCCAGGCTTGACTTGTGAGAGTTTGATCCACCAGACTGTTGCTTGGAGCGGCCCGCAGGCCCACATACCCACCACAGCCCGGTTGGTCCGGCACTCCTTGAAGGAAACAATCTAGTTTCCTTGGGGAAAAAGTGAGGGCCACTAACCCTAGTGGCCCTCAATGAGGACAGGAACCCAGCAGCTTGTTGAAGGTTTCCCCCATTTGCCTTGATCTTTTCCAGATATATTTTAAAAACACAGTTTTGGCAGTTACGGCTTGGGTGGTTCCATGGGTTAATAACCCTATGGGTTAAAAAATATCACATGTTCTCAGTCCTACATTGTGACTTGCTGAGCTTGAAACTGTTGCTCGTAATTTATGTTGACAAACAAGGAGCATAAACATCTGCTGAACATAAACAAAATTGTGTTCAGTAAGTGTAAACATTGAAGTAAGAGGTCCCCATGGAGTTCCCATGAAGTTCAGCAGTCCCCATGGCATAGTGGTAAGATGCTCATCTGGCTTTTCACGAGCGCTTTGTCCTGGGTTCGTATCCTGGCCGGGGAGGATTTACTGGGCGCAAATCCTTAACTGTAACCTCTGTTTACTCAACAGTAAAATGAGTACCTGGTTGTTAAACGATTTGGCGGGGTCATATTCCGGGGAACATAGAATTAAGGACTTGCCTGAAACGTTATGCATGCTAATGGCTGTACAGGAATGCAAGAACTCTTACTTATTTATATATAAGTAAATAAATAAATAAAAAGGTGTATAGTTTTTGAAAGGATTCACATTGATATGTTTCTTGCACTGTGTGAGATTTATCAAGTGTTGTTATATTCCTTTTAACTCTGTTTTGCAGTACTTACAGTGTGCTCTTGTATCATCACCTGGAACAACCATTGTACAATCCTTGAAAAGTTGGTCTTGTAACTACTCCTTTCTTAATTTTTTTTTATCATACTGCTTAATTTTTGGCACTTATGTAAAGCATTTTTATAAACGTTAAATGTTAATAATATCTACTACAATAAACTATGACAACAAAGTACCTGTACTATTATTAGTTTATATAAAAACTCTCACTGTATGCCACTACTTAAAATATATGTCACACAACCACAGATGTCACCGAATCACTGGTTCTATTGACTAGTCTTGTACTAATCGTGGATACTGTGAGTACAGTGATACCAAGAGTTTCATACAGAATAACAAACTGACCAGTGAAAAAAAAAGATACAATAGCACACTTGGAGACTTGCAAATATCTCTTCTGGTACAAACTTGGTTAAAATCATCTAAAAACATCCAGATTCTATAAAAAACCATCTAGATTCACATCAAACATCTAAATAGCATTTTCTGACAGCCAGACATAACTAAAATCATCTAGATCTAGATGTAAAGCATCCAACCTAGCAACACTGATCCTTCGCGACCTAATACAACACAACAGTACAGTACACCTAAATTATTGGGATCGTCTCAAAGCTCTCCAAATGTACTCTCTAGAAAGGAGACGAGAGAGATACCAAATAATATACACATGGAAAATACTGGAGGGCCAGGTCCCAAATCTACACAGTAAAATAACAACGTACTGGAGTGAACGATATGGAAGAAAATGCAAGATTGAACCAGTGAAGAGCAGAGGTGCCATAGGCACAATCAGAGAGCACTGTATAAATATCAGAGGTCTGTGGTTGTTCAACGTCCTCCCAGCGACTATAAGAAATATTGCCGGAACAACCTTGGACATCAAGAGAAAACTGGACTGTTTTCTAAGAGAAGTTCTGGATCAACTGGGCTGTGGTGGGTATGTGGCCCTGCAGGCCACTCCAAGCAACAGCCTGGTGGACCAAACTCTCACAAGTCGAGCCTGGCCTCGGGCCGGGTTTGGGGAGTAGAAGAACTCCCAGAACCTCATCAACCAGGTATCAAGCAGTACTCAAAACATTGCCCTCCACCCTCCCATCTCGGTAATGCAAATTCATCACAGTTCCCAGTACACTACCACCAAATACTTTACAATACCCAGTATAGCACCTCCTAACCTAAACACTACATAGTTACCAACTAACCTCAGTGCTTAGCACCTCACAATCCCTAGCTCATCAGCCCCCCCCCCTAATTAATCAGTTGGTTATGCACCACCACCTAATCTAGGAGTGCACATCACCCCAGTGCCCAGTACCCCTGGCCCAAGGGTGCACATCACCCGTGCCCAGTACCCCAGGCCCAAGGGTGCACATCACCCGTGCCCAGTACCCCTGGCCCAAGGGTGCACATCACCCTAGTGCCCAGTGCCCCCCACCCCCTAACGTAAGCGTGGACAGCACCCCAGGACTCACCGCCATGCTAGGGTTAGACTTGGTGATGTACACCACAGAGGGGTAGAACTGCCGCTTCTGGTAGTAGGCGTTGCCGATGACGGCCGCCGTCAGGGCAAACGAGGCCATGGTGAGGCCCCCTACAGGCATGGGCGCCGGCATGGCGACTTAGGTGTTGGTAAGCACCGGGATAACTAACACAGGCATCAAGATATGTCAGCCCCAGCTCTTCACCCTCCTCAGCTGACGACACAAAACCCAAACAATCGCTGACATTTGGGCCGCATATTTCTCCCAAATGCACTAAGTGTTTGTTTAATACTTTTGCCATCTAGCTGTAAACTATAACATTTTATAAGATATAATAAATTATAGTATCGGAAAAATCTTATTGGCCTTTTCGTAAATGCCAAATAATTGTCATTACGGAATTTTAGCAAAAGATGCATCTCTTAAGCAAACTGTCTCTTCCTGATTGGTCGAGGAATACGCGCGAGAATATAAATTTAAATATATAATTAGTGGGGGGGGGGTACCACCTCTGGTGCAATTATAGGGACCCACAGCCTCAAAGAAGGGAAGACAGAGCATTCAGAAAAAAACTTGCCATTTAACTCTGAATACATATGAGTGTTCGCTTCTCCTACCACCCCCCTTTTTTTATGGTGTACACCTTATTATGCAAGGTTATACAGTTACATATCTGATTTTATACAAAAAATAAACATTGAGAGGACACAAGAAAAAGTTTGCTTCCTAGAGGCTGTAGATTTCCTCGAACTCCTCCGACGCCGGGCAGGAACCGAGGAGGCAGCGGGCATTTCCCCTCTGGATCGCGACACTGAGGCGCTGAAAGAGAAAACTTGCCGCTCTAGGGTCTCTTGTAGTGTCAATGAGCTTGGAACCAAGATCCTTAAGAAACCTTCTTGCACTCTCTTCCCATGGGCCTTGGGTCTCAGACCCTATTGGAACGAAGTTGTACCGACGATCTAATTCCCTGTACAAAAATATATAATTTATTTAAAAAATATAGAGCGTGTGTAATTACCTAAGTGTAATTAAATAAGTGTAGTTACAGGATAAGAGCTACGCTCGTGGTGTCCCGTCTTCCCAACACTCTTTCAAATTCAAATGTTTATTCAGGTTCAAGTTCAAGTATGTTTATTGAGATAAGAAAGAAATACATCTCAACGGGATAGAGTAGCTTAGGCTATTTCAACCCCCCCTCTACTTCAAGTCCCTCAAGGGGGGCACAAATTCAGTGAGTACAAATAGACAAATAACATTACAAGAATCCCATATAACATTGCAGGTTAATATAGTAAGCACAGCATATAATTGTTACACTCCTGGGGCAAAATTCTTGTAGCTCCTAAGTATACTGTCTTATCATACGATTATCACACATACAATTTGATGTGGTACACTACTTATTTCCTTATTTCTATAGTTATCAATAAGATGACACTCATACATAATGCTCTAAGGTGTGGGCGTGCGGCATACTACATAATTTACACTCCTTATCTTTTTCACCGACATTAACACCGTATTGCCAGATATATTTGTATCCTAATCTTAATCATCTCATGTAAATTGAATCCTTCCAAGTAGACTTTCCTTTACCATAAGTGAAGGACGAGTTTGTGTTTATTATTGAATAATTCTTAAGTGTGTTACTACTGTCCACCATTGCCATTCTCTTTACCATTTCTTCGCCCACTTGGATCATCTTGATTCTTGTTTTTACTTGTTTCAAGGTTAACTGACATACAACATCAACAAGAGTTTTTTTCCGTGGCTCTCTTCGCTATCTCATCAACTACCTCATTCAACAGTATTCCCACATGTGAAGGGATCCACATGAATCTTACTTTATACCCAATTTTTTCTAATTTCTTAACATTCTCTCTACACACTATCACAATATTCTGGTATACTGGGCGTCTGTTATTTAAGGACTCTAACGCTCCTCTACTGTCAATAAAGAAGTAGGCATTTTTACCACATTTGACTACTTCCTGTAATCCTGCTAATACACCTTGGAGTTCAGCCTGCGTTGAAGAGACATTGTCAGTTAAGCTGCGTCCAATAACAGTATCTATAGTGCCGATGTCAGTGTACTCCCTGATCAAGACTCCACATCCTGCCTTCCCATCCCTAGCTACTGATCCATCACAATATACATGTAGTGTTTTTTCTGTAGGCAATTTTCTAATTATACAATCATATGTTGCCCTCAGCTCTCATATTTCATACATATTTTTTTCTTTTGCAAGGGAGAAATTACTACATCTACATTACAATCCTCCCATGGTGGTGTGAAAGTGTGTGAAGAGGAGGGAGAGGAGCTGGGGGTAGTAGTCCGGTCAGGGCCCAATGTAGCCGGGGCCGGGGCTATAGAGCCCGGTCTTCCATCACAGTCCGACTCGGGGGCCTGGTCGCCTACCCCATGTGCCTGGGTAAGAGAGGTCGTGTCAATATCCATATATCATGTATTTTAATAGGTCTTGTGCTTGGAACCAAGGAATACCACCTACCAGGGCAGCCAGGGAGGCCGTGTGCAGAAAGGGGTGCGTCGTCCCCAGATTTATTTATCAATCAATCAAGATTAAGCCACCCAAGAGGTGGCACGGGCATGAATAGCCCGTAAGTGGTAGCCCTTTTGAGCCATTACCAGTATCAAGAGATGATACTGGAGATCTGTGGAGGCGTGACTGCACCCTGCGTGACGGGAGATGTCTCCCGGACCAAATGGTGCGTCCCCAGAGGTGCTCCCCTTTTTAAAAAGGAGAGTCCTACTGCTTCGTCCATTCTCCTACACTGGTGCAAAGACCTCATTCTTCCTTTCGCCCCAGCCATAACTAACATGCTCGTGTCTGAAGCTAGACACAAATACAACAAAATTATTAATGATGGTAACAGAGTCCATGTCATGTGGATTCCATCTTATGTTGGCCTCCGAATGCATGATAGAACTGATAAGTTAGCCAAAGAATCTGCCTTTAAAGGAGAAATTGAGTAAAACCTTGGATTGCCTGTAAGCAGACGGATGGCAATAGTACACCAAGAACTTCAAAATCTTGTAGATCTAAGGCAAAGTGAAATCGACTCCAGTAATTCCATCTATCATCATACTATCATGCAAGAAAAGCCACACATCTATGGCTCATCCAATGAAATCAGCACACTCCTTGATGTTACTACTGCCCCCAAGATGGGTATGGGGTTCATAATAAATATGAACTAAACAAAACCCCAGGAGTCGTAACCACTGGGTAGGGGTAACTCTCGTGCACGCCCTAATGTTCCATCATCTGGGACTCCATACAAAACCAACATATGGTAACGGATCTTGCTTGCCCACCGCCACAACAGGCAGGAGAGGGAAACAGCCGAGCCCCTCCCTCCCCTTAGCCGGCTCAAAGAGAGCCCCCTCACTGCGTCAAGGAACTGTCCTCCTGGGGGGGGGGGAGTGATTTTACATAATAAACAATCTCTTTGCCCACTTTAACTTACACAATATAGGCTGTTATATGAATACTGTGTTACCAGCATTAACTTCAAAGTTTAGAGATTAATAAAAGATATGATGTATTTCTGAGCCACTTCAATATTCTAAATATTTAAGGCTCCGTTTGGAAATAGTTAACATTGCAAGCCTGTCAGGTGTACCTAGTGTTCATGCCATTCGTAACAAAAAGATTCGCAAAATGCCTTGCACGTCAAATTTCCTCATGATCATGTTGGCTGTCAACATGCCGATACTGTATACAAAGCCTAATGACTTAATTGCATGTTGGAATACAAGACAATATGCCGAATCTTACTCCGCCTGTCTATTGATAACTGGGAAACACTCATTTATCACATTATGCTATATAATTCTTTCTCGTTTCTTATTGGGCTAATCCTTTTGATTTTTGTTTTCGTCTGAGAAATGTGTCCATACTCCTACCACGGCTACTGTGACCACACCGACGGTAAATAATTATCAAAAGAAGACAGCAAACCGGGTCCACACCGACGGTAACAGCCATCTTAACTATGGTACCGAGCTTCTCTCCTTCCCTTCCAGTTGTTAAGGTTGAGCGTAGAGTTGCGCTCATGCTTGGGAACTCTCACAAATCATAATTTTTTGTTAATGCTCTTATGCAAGACTATTTAAGTATCTCTACGACCTGTACCAACATAGTCCTCGTCTCCTCTAGACTATACACGACAAGGGTGCATACTTCTAGTAGCTCATAAAGCCTCTCTTTCACTTCAGAGTTAGAAATGATAGACGGATCAGGTTAATGTACACCAATGCAGAACAATATTTATTATTTTTACAAAAATTTCCTATATTTTTATACAGTGGCATTAAGGAATTCAGTCCTGACAGTTTTTGGTAAACCATTCAATGTAAAGTCAACGACTTCGGCCGCAGTGGCGATATCATAACACCCAGGCCAGTCACAGAACCTGGCCTGGCCATCAATAATAGTCTATGATCTGAAATGAAATGCTTCTTGTACATCAGGTCACTGCCAAACCGTTACTCCCATTAGTGACCAAGGCAGAAATGTCCGCCTTGGCAGGGAATGGTGGTCACCTTGTGCACCGCTGGCCATCCTTCACCACTGCACCGAACCACAGTCGAAAGTTGCTGAAACCCAGACGAAAAAACATTAATGTAAATACATACTTTAAATAGTTCATATACTAAGTTGTTAATATATAACGGGAAGCTTATTGAACTATTAGGTTACATACTCTTTGGATTTATTGAAACTAAACTTAATTCCAGTTGGTCCTTAATACGCCGAAACAGATTACCAGAGAAACCAATTTTATTAAATAACTCAAAATGATGAATGCATTCCTTTCATACTGAAATTGTGCCCCCCTGTTCTCCATTTTTAATAATAATGACTCCGCCACAAAAACTATCAAATGGCTTACAAAACACCTTGAACTGGCAGTATAGATCTAAAAATTGCACATTATGCATAGCCATAACTTAAATTATCAAACCAAGCGTGCTATCTAGTAGATCTATTAGTCTCAATGGCAACACACTTTACCAAAGTTCCGGTTGACAAAACTTTAGTTTTCAAAGAGGGACTTTAGCGATGGCTGCCGCCTCTCTGCCTCGTGTTACCAATTCTGGACAAAAGCAACACCCCCCCATTGGCTGTTGACCCTCGGCACCAGCTTACATCTGTAAGGTACAAAAAGAGACGCTAAAGTAATAATTACAACTAACCAGTGTAGTACTGCTTCACTTTGGCTATTAAAAGTTATAAATAGTATCAGAATTCCAGATAAAGATAGATACATTATTTCAGGGAATGGGAAACAAAGAAGCACCTTAATAATAATTGTGCCATTAATGGCCCGCAGGAGCATATCAGGGCTGGTGAGATGATATGTGATTGATAACTGTTAAATGTGCCTGCGAAGTGACATGCGGTACAGTAACTACACAAGTCTACTAACCTACCTCCAGCTGATCACATGAACTCTCAAGTCACCATGATTATATAGTACAAGACCAGTCATATTACAAGGACACAAGTGGTGCGTGGGTGGATACCGAATAACATGGATCACTTCAGTGAAATCATGCCCAATGTATACATCAATTAACCCAAGTTGCAGGTACCTTATGTAGGCCCTGCCTGTGAGAGGGGAGGGGGAAGGGGAGTCCACTACCAACTATTCTGTGAATTGGGTGTCCATGACCAACCTTATGCGAGGAAGCATCCCCAGCCAACCGTCCTGTGAGTGGGGTGTCCATGATCAATCATCCTGCGAGGGGCCATCCACGACCAGTACCCGTTCTGAAAAGGGGCATCCACATTAAGAAGCATACATGAAGTGCATATCCTAGCATGTGGCGCCCTGGGCAGTTGCCAGAGTTGCAGGTACTCAAAGCGACCATGCCTGTGGGAGGAGTCTGCAAATAACCATCCTGCGAGAGGGTGTCCATGACTAACCGTCCTGCGAGAGGGTGTCCATGACTAACCGTCCTGCGAGAGGGTGTCCATGACTAACCGTCCTGCGAGGGGGCGTCCATGACCAACCGTCCTGCAAGGGGACACCCACGACCAACTGTCCTGTGAGGGAGCATCCATCACCAGCTGTCCTTCATCCACGACCAACCGCCCTGTGAGAGGGGCATCCAAATTAAGAAGTATACATTAAGTGGCATCCCTAGCATGTGGCACCCTGGGCAGTTACCAGAGTTGCAGGTACCTTAAGCTGCCCCTGCCTGTGAAGGAGGTGTCCACGACCAACTGTCCTGCGAGGGGGCATCTACGACCAACCGTCCTGCAAGAGGGCATCCAAATTAAGACGTATACATGAAGTGGCATCCCCAGCATGTGGCACCCTAGGCAGTTGCCCGAGTTGCAGGTACTCGAGGTGACTATGCCTGTGAGAGGAGTCTGCAACCAACTGCCCTGCAAGGGGGCATCCCAACTAACCGTACTGCGAGGAGGCATCCAGGGCCAACCATCCTGTGAGGGGGCTTCCATGGCCAACCATCCTGTGAGGGGGCGTCCATGGCTAACCGTGTGAGGGGGCGTCCACGGCCAACCTTCCTGTGAGGGGGCGTCCACGGCCAACCATCCTGCGAGGGGGCGTCCATGGCTAACCGTGTGAGGGGGCGTCCACGGCCAACCTTCCTGTGAGGGGGCGTCCACGGCCATCCATCCTGCGAGGGGGCGTCCACGGCCATCCATCCTGCAAGAGGGGCATCCACTACTAACCTTCCTGCGAGGGGGGTGTTCGTGACGAACTGTCCTACGAGGGGGCATCCACGACCAACCGTCCTGAAAGAGGGCATCCAAATTAAGACATACATGAAGTGGCATTCCTAGCATGTGGCGCCCTGGGCAGTTACCAGAGTTGCAGGTACCTTAAGCTGGCCCTGCCTGTGAGGGAGGTGTCCATGACCAACCGTCCTGCAATGGGGACATCCACAACTAACCTTCCCACGAGGGTGTGTTAGTGACAACCGCCCTGCGAGGGGGCATCCACAGCCAACCATCCTGCGAGGGGGCGTCCACGGCCAACCTTCCTGTGAGGGGGCGTCCACAACCAACCATCCTGCGAGGGGGCGTCCACAACCAACCATCCTGCGAGGGGGCGTCCACAGCTAACCATCCTGCGAGGGGGCGTCCACAACCAACCATCCTGCGAGGGGGCGTCCACAACCAACCATCCTGCGAGGGGGCGTCCACAACCAATCATCCTGCAAGAGAGGGGCATCCAAATTAAGAAGTATGCATGAAGTGGTGTCTCCTAGCATGTGGCTCCCTGGGCAGTTACAAGAGTTGTAGGTACCTGAAGTGGGCCCCTGCCTGTGAGGGAGGTGTCTATGACCAACTCTCTTGCAATGGGGACATCCACAACTAACCTTCTTGCGAGAGGGGATGTTCCTGACCGACTGCACTGTGAGGGGCATCCACGACCAACCATATTGCGAGGGAGCATCCACGACCAACAGTCCTGCGAGGGAGCATCCACGACCAACAGTCCTGCGAGGGAGCATCCACGACCAACAGTCCTGCGAGGGAGCATCCACGACCAACAGTCCTGCGAGGGAGCATCCACGACCAACAGTCCTGCGAGGGTGCATCCACGACCAACAGTCCTGCGAGGGTGCATTCACGACCAATCGTTCTGCAAGTAAGGCATCCACAGCCAATCATCCTTTGAGTGGGGCATCCAAACCAACCATCCTGCAAAGGGCCGTCCATGACTAAAAGTTCAGTGATGGGGGGTGTCCACGACCTACCGTTCTGTGAGGGGGCGTCCATGCCCAATCGTCATGTGAGGTGGCATCCAAATCAATAAGTATACATGAAGTGGTGTCTCCTAGCATGTGGTGCCCTGGGCAGTTGCCAGAGTTGCAGGTACTCAAGGCGACCATGCCTGCGAGAGGAGTCTGCGACCAACCGTCCTGCGAGTGGGCAACCACAACCAACGATCCTGCAAGAAAGCGCCCATTACCAACCGTCCTACAAGGGGACACCCAAGATCAACTGTCGTGTGAGGGAGCGTCCACGACCAGCTGTCCTTCAAGGGGTAGCCACAACCAACCATCCTGTGAGGGGGGGGTATCCACGACCAACTGTCCTGCAAGAGAGGCATTCAAATTAAGAAGTATACAGGAAGTGGCATCCATAGCATGTGGCACCCTGGGCAGTTACCAGAGTTGGAGGTACCTTAAGCTGGCCCTGACTGTGAGGGAGGTGTCCATGACCAACCGTCCTGCGAGGGGGTGTCCATGACCAACCCTCCTGCAAGAGGGGGCATCCACAACCAACTATCCAGCAAGAGAGGCATCCGAACCAACTGTCCAGCAAGAGGGGCATCCACAAACAACCGTCCTGTAAGGGGGAATCCAAATTTAGAAGCAATCATGAAGTTTCGACCCCTAGCATGTGGCGCCCAGGAGAGTTACCAGAGTTGCAGATACCTTAAGCCAACCCTGCTTATCAGAGGAGGCGTCCATGACCAACAGTCCTGCAAGGGACCAGTTACATGAGACATTTACATGACTTAAAAATCTATAATCAAACTCAATGTGTAGGTTAATGAAAGCTGACAAATTAGCATACTGATTTCATGGTACAAGAAAAAGAAAGCAAATTAATATTTAAATAAAAATAAGTTAAAAACAAAAGCATACAAAAACGAGGCATGCAAATCGGTACATAATCTGAACGAACTGAGAAGCATACATGAAATGGGGCAACCCAGCATGTTGTTTCCTGGTCAGTTACTAGAGTTGCTAGCACCTTAAGCGGGCCCTGCCTATGAGGGGGTGTCCACGACCAACTGTCCTGTGAGGTGGCGTCCACGACCAACTGTCCTGTGAGGTGGCGTCCACGACCAACTGTCCTGTGAGGTGGCGTCCACGACCAACTGTCCTGTGAGGTGGCGTCCACGACCAACTGTCCTGTGAGGTGGCGTCCACGACCAACTGTCCTGTGAGGTGGCGTCCACGACCAACTGTCCTGCGAGGTGGCGTCCACGACCAACCGTTCTGTGAGGTGACGTCGACGACAACTGTCTTGCGAGGTGGCGTCCACGACCAACCGTCCTGCGAGGTGGCGTCCACGATCAACCATCCTTTGAGAGGGGCGTCACAACCAACCATCCTGTTAGAGGGGTGTCACAATCAACCATCCTGTGAGAGCACATCCACAACCAACCTTCATGGAGAGGGCGATCACAAGAGAATTTTTCCTTTATTCCCTGAAAGGGAAGCTCACCGTTTACACCCTAAACGGGAAACTTTCCCATTTATTTCCCGAAAGGGGAAACCACCTTGCACACTCTGAAAGGGGAAAACCACCTTGTACGTCCTGAAAGGGAAAACCACCTTGTACGCCCTGAAAGGATGGATCACCTGTACACTAAGTGAGGTACAGGAGACAATCCTAAGGTACCACTCACCTGCTGTTAGTAAGTGGTGGTAGTTCTCGCGTTAATCCCTCCATAATAGGTTAAGAAAATGGATTCATTAGTGTCCAACACTATAGGAAATCCCCGTCCATTGTCCTCCACGTTTTGGATCCCTCTTCCTCTTCCGACGACTGCTTGACTTACTGGTGCTACATCAATACCCACTTGTAGGTTGAATGGTGATGTTTTAAATCATCTATTCTATAAAAAGCAAATCATATTAGTAACTAAATGATATTCGAACTTGTACAAAAAAATGTTTCAGTAATGAGTCATGGGTTGTACGTTGTTTTACAATGACACTGTTTACATCGGTTATATTTTTAAATGCTGTGATGGAGTTAATAAAATATTTTATTTAAAAAATACAGATTAGATTACAGTACAGTAGTTACTTAGTAGGTACACAATACAGTATTTTATAGAGCAACTAAATTACGTGCAGTGCTCATAGCTTATATTAAACTGATTATTAAGTTTTACATGTCTGGCTTAGTACTAAGAGGTATAGGATAAAAAAACTTAAAAGGAAGATAAAGCTCAAGTCAACTTTATATCCATGCAGCCAGCCCCAAGCCCGACCAAGAGCCCGACCAAGAGCCCGATCGAGAGCCCACCCCAAAACCCTACCAAGAAACCACCTTCAGCCCTACCAAGAACCCACCTGGAGCCTGACCAGTTCAGTAAACCAGAGCCCGCCAGTTGAGTGAAAGGGAGCCCGTCAGTTGAGTACCTGGAGGCCCCCCCCCCCCCGAGCATTCCCGAGAACCCACCCCGAGCCCTATCGAGAACTCACCACAAGCATGACAAAGAACCCACCCCGAGCCCTACTAAGAACTCACCCTGAGCCTGATAAAGAACCCAAGCCCGACAGAGAACCCACCCCAAGCCCTACGGAGAACTCACCCCGAGCCTGACTAAGAACCCACCCCAAGCCCTATCGAGAACCCACCCCGAGCACTACCGAGAACCAAGCCCGAAAGAGTCCACCCCGAACATGAAAGAGAGCCCCACCCCGAGCCCTACTGAGAGCCCATCCCAAGCTCTACCAAGAACTCACCCCGAGTCCTATCAAGAATCCACTCAAAGCCGGACATACCCCAACCTGGAGAAAAAAACCCAGTCAGTCATCCAGAGCCCGACAAGTCAAACACCCGGAGCCCGACCAGTTTAGTAAACCAGAAACCGCCGCCAGTTGTGTGAACTGGAACCCGTCAGTTGAGTACCTGGAGCCCGCCCGACAACCCACCCGGAACCCCTACCGAGAACCCACCCCGAGCCCTACAGAGAACCCAACCTGAGCCTGACCAAGAACCTACCCCGAGCCCTACAGAGGTTCCCCAAGCCTGAGAGCCATCCAGAACCCGAAAGAGCCCCCCGAGCCTGAACAAGAGCGCACCCTAAGCCCT